ATTTTAGTAATTACAGAAATTATTTGAAAACAGACATACTAAAATAGTTTGACTCTGTAAAAAGAGATTAGTTGACTTTAAAAAGTGAGTGCAATTAGCATAATTATAAAAGTGAAGTCAACATAACAGTTCCAAGGTACAACATTATCTTTGTAAAGCCAACTTAGCTTTTAAGGCAATTGGTTTACTCACTTTAAGTAACTAATCACTTTTTACAGTGCTATATGCTTTCTTTACTTTAGTGGGGTGACAGCTTTATGTGTATATTTAGCCTACATGTTAGAGAAGGCCTGACATTAAACCAGTGTCTGCAGTGTCAGGCCTGAATATCCTCTTCAACCCCATGAGACAGTAAAATCTGTGTTGACATATCACATCAGTACCTTTTGAAAGGGTAAGGTACTTCTTGTGACCTTTATACCTTTTTATGTTCAGTGAGCCATTACTGAATTTGTAAGAATGTCAAATTAAATGTCAGCCTGACCCCAAATACTATAAAAGGAGGCTATTAAAAACATTTACTTTTTTTTAAACTCAGTCTTAAGTTTTTAAAATCAAGCATAATTAAAATAAAACTGACTCATGATTCATTCATTTTCTTTTTGGCTCAGTCCCTTTATTAATCTGACGTCACCACAGCAGAATGAACCACCAACTTATCCAGCATATGTTTTATGCAGCGGATGCCCTTCCAGCTGCACCCCATCTTTAGGAAGCATCCATATAAACTCATTCACGCTCATACATTACTTACAATTTAGCCTAACCAATTCACCTGTACCACGTCTTTGGACTGTAGGGGAAACCAGAGCACTGGGAGGAAACCCACACGAACGCAGGGAACCAGCGACCTTCTTGTTGTGAGGCTAAAGCACTACCTACTGCGGAACTGTGTTGCCTATTCATGTTAAATAAATATGTTAATAAATATACATATATATAAAGTACAGTAAAGACTAGAAATATGTAATATAGTAACTCAATAGAGAACAAATACTTAGAAAAAGGACATGTTTTTTTAATTGTGGTCTTTAATTTCGAGCCCACTGTAATTTATTACTTTAAAAATGTTGCTCAAAAACATTTAAAGCAACTATAAAAGTTTAATATGAGATTAATTTGACTTAAAAGTGTTTTGAATATATTTAAAATGTATTCAGTTAATCATTTAAAAGACTTAAGCTATCGTAGATGTGATGAATTGTTTGGCTGAGCTGCACTGACACCTACTGGTCTTTCAAGGACAGTTTGTTGAGTAGTTTTGTAAGGGTCACGTGACCGGAAGATTATATCGTCCTTTATTTTCCAGTTTGTATTCATACTCGCTCTGCGCACAAATACGTTGTTTCACTGTAAACCTCTATCAAACTATGTCTTTTTGTTCTTTTTTCGGGAAAGAGTTTTATAAAGATCACTTCAAACCTGGTATGTAGTATTTTTGTATTATTTACTCTACCTGCTTCTTTACCCCCAAGAAGGATTATGATGTAACTGTTTATAACAAATACTTTGCCTGCTAATAATGATTTAATAAATTGTATGATTATTTTTAAAAATGTGTTTGTGTTACAAACTGCTCAGAAAAAAACATAACAAACATATGTATGTGTGTAACATTTAAAGCATGATGTTCCTCTGCAGGTATATATGCTTGTTCCCAATGTGGACATCCGCTGTTTTCAAGTAGATCCAAGTATGAGCATTCCTCCCCCTGGCCTGCCTTCACAGAGACTATTCGAGAGGACAGTGTAACAAAAATGATGGAGACCTTAACAGCCTACAAGGTCAGGCTCAGATTTATAATATTAGATCATATCTGGTAAAAATAATAACATTTACTTGTAAATTTACGTCATGTATGGGATTACATCAAATTTTCTTAACTAAATTAGCTAAAATCATTATAATTCTAAAAGAACAGTGATGTTTTGAACTGAATTAGGGGTAATATGATTACAATTAATTATTCATATTAATCAATATGTATATCAATATCTGTTTCTTTTAAGTTTAAAACCAGATTTCTGCTCCTGAGAATAAGTCGTTGAAATCAGACTGTTAATTGTTCATCTAAAGTACACATTTTCCTGTATACATAGTAATGACAAAACAGTTTTAATTGAGAACTAATATAATTACAAAAACAATTTGTACAAATACAAAAAAATAATTATTAATAGTTATTTAGGATTAATAAAATCCTAAATAAAAGTTTGACATAATATATGTATGTGTACTGTGTATATTCATTATGTATATATAAATGCACACATGCATGCATATATTTGAGAAAATGTTTATTTATATTTAGATATAAAACATATTTGTGTAATACAAATTATATACAAATTAAAATATCTGTGTATCAAAACTGTATAGTTTTATTTCTTTGTATGTGTGTATATCACATATACATAATAAATATACAGTTGAAGTCAGAATTATTAGCCCCTCTTTTAATAATTTTTTTTTATATTTCTCAAATTATGTTTAACAGAGCCAGTGAAATTTTCACACTATGTCGATAATGTTTTTTCTTCCGGAAAAAGTCTTGTTTGTTTTATTTCGGCTAGATTAAAAGTGGTTTTAAATTTTTAAACAGCATTTTAAGGATGAAATTATTAGCCCTTTTAAGCTATTTTTTTTTTTCAAGTCTAAAGAACCAAACATCGTTATACAATAACTTGCCTAATTACCCTAACCTGCCTAGTTCACCTAATTAAGCCTTTAAATGTCTCTAGCTGTATAGAAGTGTCTTGAAAAATATCTAGTCAAATATTATTTACTGTCATCATGGCAAAGATAAAATAAATCAGTTATTAGAAATGAGTTATTAAAACTATTATGTTTAGAAGTGTGTTGAAAAAAAAAGTTCTCTCTGTTAAACAGAAATTGAGGGAAAAAATAAACAGGGGGGCTAATAATTCTGACTTGAACTGTATATAATACACACACATATATTGTTTCAAAACAAACTTTTATTTTGGTTGCAATTAATTTTTGCCTAGCACTATATAATATAGATAATATATTTTTATCCTTACATGAACTAAATATATCATTTTATATCACATTTCCCATCACATTTGTTAAAGATCTTTGTATAATCAGTGCATTGCTACATGTTTATATGTGCACATACAGGTTCTGTGTGGGAAGTGTGGTAATGGCCTTGGCCACGAGTTCCTGAATGATGGGCCGGAGGAGGGCTTATCACGCTTTTGAATATTCAGTCACTCGCTCAAGTTTGTCCCGAAAGGTACGTCAACAACAACAAAATACCATTATCTAATAGCTTTACATACAGACTTAACCACTTAAATTTTTCATTATCATTTTTCCCCATTAGATAAGGTTGATAAACACTAAGCGAGGAGACTGATGAGGCTGCTGTTGCGCACACTGGCACTGGACGTTCAGCTCATGAAGTGGTCATGGAAAAGCCCTGGAAAGAGGGTCCTGTTCACAGATGTTTTATGACCATCCAGGATGCCACAAAGACAAAGAAATCTATTTTTTTTTACTAGTCTATAAGCTAATTATGAACATTAAAAAATTAATGAATGAAATTACCAGTAATAAAACCTGTCTGAAATATTAGAGTTAATATCTGGAGTTAATCTTCATTGTTATTATTATTAATATGAAGAATAACTTTTCAACAATAATGCAGCATGTTGTTAATTTGATTTTAAAAATATTTTAATTGTTTGTTCGGTTGAATTGATCATCCATTGTCTGAATTGTTTGTCAATGAATCCTGCATTAATGCTTTTTTGTTGTGTGTGCACCATAAAGTCATTGTAATTTAAGTTAGGCTAATATTGAATTGAAATTACCTTTTTATTTTTATTTCCACTATTAAAGAATAATTTGTAACAGTTCTCTTTGGTGCCTTTCTTTTAAATGTATATGCAGTGACCTTTTTATTTAACATTGTGTCAAATAACCCATAAAGTTACAATTTAAAAATAAAAAACAGCTTTTTTTTAAGGCAAGTCAGGTTTGATATTGCACCCTATATGATTTTAAATAGTATAAAGTATTAGGCCTTGTTGAAATACTTGAATTTGACCCCTAAATGAGCTCATTTATCCAGTTTTGACTGCATTGCCATTATAGATTTTGAAAATTATAGATAGAAAAAATGCTTTAGGACAAATTAAATTTTTATTTATTCAAGTGGCCATATTCTGACTGAGGAAAGTTGAATTAATTGGCCAGGTTTTTATTTGACCATAGGCTACAGTTTTTATTTTAAAACAAGTTTTATTAGATTCCTTTTTTATTTTAATGATGGATGATAACACGTTTGTGTGTAAAAAAATACTTTTTCATATTATCTCATTTTTAAATGCTAATCTCATAACAATATTCATAAAACTATATTCATTTATAGTTTAAATTTGTAAATAAACATTTTGTGGTAAAATAGTAAAGTTAGCACTTCGACAAAACTAGAGAATTATTTTTGTTGCATCAAAAAAGTGGTTATAATCACTATCCCACAATCCAGCAAAGAGAGTTCTTAAAATGTCACTAAAATGCATAGTTGAATTGCAACTATGCAAAAGGTCTACTTTTTCAGAAAAAAACAAACAAACATGGCCTTTTTCCTGAAAAGTTCTATAAAAAGTTGTTTATATTTATTTAAGAATGTTATTTAAATGTAAATTGCTTCTAAAGTCAATTATGCCAGAAAACTATGTGGGTTAACAAAAAAATAAATAAACAAATAAAACCTGACTCCTTAAAACCGCCAAAAAGACGGCGCGCGCGAAAAACGGTCACAGCGTAGATTATTTCATATCCAGCTAGAGGCTCAGCCGGTCACCTCAGCAGCAGTTTCTGGTTTTGTGAGAAGCGAATGAGACTTGTTATCTCGTTATCTGAAGGTTAACAAGTAAGAATTTCACTGCTTTCTAATGAGATATAGGTTACAGATAAAGTAACATTAACCTTTTTTTACATAAATGTATAGTTTTCTTCAGCGCTTGCTTGTTAGTTTTAAGAGAAATGTAGTAGCTAGCTTGTGATAACGTTAAGCCATTTCCGTTCAGCACGTCTTAATAATATAGCTCCTTGTCTTGTGGTCATTTATTTCTGTTTTTGTGACACTTGTGTTTCAGAGATAAAAAATGACGTACGCTCCAATGGGAAGCTATGTGCCAATTTCTGACCTAAACATAAACATCACACACTCGGTGAGAACCTGCTCTGGCAAATGGCAGAAGACATAAAGTGAATTAAATGGCTTGTTGTGGTGGTATTCTAATTTTAATGAATAATTAGTCAATTGCTTAAAATGTTTAAGTTGCCTCTAGTTTAAATAATTAGTGTACTTATTAGTATAATATACTGTATTTTTCATACACAGCCACTACATTGTTTTGATTATCATATGACTAGTCAGTATATAAACTTGTGACTATAAGTATATAAACGTGTTTATAAGATGCACATGACACGTTTACAAAATATACATATACGGACTTGTTGGAATAAGTAAAACATTCTTAAGTGTTATTTTAGTGCACATATTAGTATAATGTACTGTTATAAATTCACATTTGATTTAATATTGATTAATATTAATTTTTTTTAATTATTGTAAGTCAATAAGTCAACCTCATAATGAAAGGTTACATGTAATAAATATATATATATAGATTCAATTGGTAAAAAAGGCTTTTTTTATTTTCTAGAAGGTGGTGGGGGTGATAATTGGAAAAACTGATTCAAGAGGATTTCCTGACCGGAAAAGTTTGTTACCATAACATTATTCATTTTTTTTCTATTTACCTTTTTTTCTTGTTTGTTTATTTAGATTTTTCACTTTTGTTCAGTTCAGTTTCCCCTTTTAATCTGTTTCAAAATGTGTTTAGATGTTGGGTCTGAAAGATTCACTTTCAGCTTCACCATCAAAGATTCACCAGAACATTTTATCAATGTGTCTGCATGGGGAAATGAGGAATACATTCAAGCACTGAGCTGTCGCTTTCAGATCGGGGATTGTGGTGAGATTGTAAAACAGCTGTTTTAGTTGTCAATTCCAAAAAAAAAACACTTTTAATAATACATAAAGTGTATTTAATTGACACGGTAAGCCAAAATAACGTCTTGTGTTTTAGTTGTAATTGAAAATCCCCTCGTTGTGACCAAGGACTATGAGAAAGAAGAACGGTTTTGCCCTTCAACACCTAGGTAAAAAAATAAAAATGAAAATAGCATCAGATTTAGATACATCATACTCTGTATTTGTGACACATATACCTATTTTATCTCAGTTCCTACAGGTTGTTGCTTACAGAGACTCACTCGAGCATTAGGATATGCTCAGACATAGACACTGAGGCCAGGATTCTGCCGCTATTTCACATACCAATCAAAGACCCAAGAGATTTCTATTCGTTGGGAGACATTACTGCAAATGGACAAAGTCTGGATGGACACGTTATTAACATCCTAGCAGCTGTACAATCGGTTAGATTTCAACCGTTATCACCAGACTTTCTCTATGAGTGTGGGATATTAACACACAAAAAAAGTTAATTTCCCACTAGACTTTATTCCCCATGTAAATTAGGCCTACTACAATTTTATCAACGATTGAGATTTTGTCATCATAGGTTGGAGAGGAGAAATTCTTTACAAAATCTGGTGGCTGCAAAGGACAGAGAATTGAAATAAAACTCTTCGATGACACTGGGAGATCATTTCCTTTTGTTTGGTGAGTAAAATTTGATTCAATTTCATTAAAATGAACAAAAACAGCAGCAATAACATCATTCCCTTAATTTTTTTATTGCTTTTTTTCATATAGTTGGGATAAAGAGAATATTCGTCTGGTGCAAACGCTGACACAAAGAGAAACAGGTGTGATAAAATTTATTTGTCTGTTCTGTTTTTTGCTAACATGATAAAACAATAAGGCAGAGATGCTCATAGAAGGAATGATGGAGAGGGTTGGAGCGCATGCCTTTACCAGAGATCGTCATTTCTAATTTTACGTGACGTTGTTTGTTTGTTTTATTGCTGAGCTACAAAAAGCAAACTGAAATAAAAAAATTTTTATTAGATGTTGCAAATGATCTGATTTCATAAAATGTAGATACTATAGCAAAAACTAGTGGAACTCCATTCTGCTATAAATAAGATTTAAAATAATAAAAAGATTATAATATATTATTCCCAGAAATGGTTTGCGGCTGGAAGGGCATGCGCTGCGTAAAAACGTGCTGGATAAGTTGGCGGTTCATTCCACTGTGGCGACCCCAGATTAATAAAGTGACTAAGCCGAAAAGAAATCGAATGAATAAATGAATACTATATTACTCAATATAAAGCAATGTTTTCTAGTTATTTTTAAATATTATGAAATGAATTAGAAACTTACCCATGGCACCTATATTTACCTTCGGCCCAATCAGGTGTGGTATTTGGCCCTTCATAAGAAAAAGTTTGGGCATCTCTGCAATAAGGATTTACTAAACTACTAATTAACTAACCTGATCAAACAATCATACATACATTTATTACAGTATTCATCCTATGTTACTTAATGAAAATACCATTATTAACTCATAGGAAATTAATTAATGTTACTAAGCACAACTTTGGACCAGTACGCATTTCACTGCACTATTTTCTAATTTCACTATGGGACTATGTATGACTGTGTATATGACAATTAAGTTAGAATTTTGATTTGTGTTAATTACATTAAGGATAATAATAACGAGATTGTTCATTGCCTATATGGCTTAAACATCTGTGCTAGAAACGTGACTGAAAACTATCAATACACATGCTTCGATCCACTCCTCAATAAAAGAATAACACAATGCAGTGGTCCAGCAGATTATAATAAAAATGAATCAGTTAATTATAGTGCTGCACGGTATTGGAAAAACATGACATTGCGATATTTGTTTTTTCTGCTATATATACATTTATATGAATAAAAGTTTATCAGATGGCTTGAATAGCTCTACTTAGAAAGAAATAATTAGCATTGATTGGAATTTTTTTCTAAGGGTGTAAATCATGTATAAAAAAAAAGATAAACAAGCTGCAAGCAAAAATAATTACACCAGAGCAATGCAAAAGACAAATAAACAGTACTTACACAGTACACAAGCAGTATTTAAGTGTAGAAATTAAATAATGAAATGTAAAATAACTGTATAGTTGTACACTGTATAATTTAGTCAAATAAGTTCTCAACAAAATTACAAATCTACTTTTTTGCCTGAATGCTTCAAACATTTTTGAAATGCATTTAAAACACATGTAAATGATAAACTTTCAATCTGTTATGTTTATACTTTGTTATGACTCAACAAATCTCATGTATTCTTAACTGCTGTGCCAACACTGCATATCCTCCACATTGCCATATCAATGCTGTACAGATATATTGTGCAGCTCTTGTTAATTAGTTATTTTTTGACTACACTTTAGTTTTATCTTTTTCTGTCTGCAATAGTGCATGCTGATGTAGTCACTGTTATCTAATGACATCCATGTTTTCCCGTTTTTGTCTTGTCTTAAGCCTGTCTCACGCGGTGCAGTTTTTAATAATCGTATATGATTGTAGCTTGTCAGAGAGCACGCACATGACACTTATGTCACAATGTAAGATCTCAGCACCGAACAGCAATCAAGCTTCGCCAAACACAGACACACGTAAGAAAACCCATCTGGAGTTTGAAGTCATCCATTTGTTACTCCTTCAGTAGCCGGCGTTCTGAAATAATACCGTCCTGCAAACATATACAACCTGTGGCATTCATTTTTCTCACAACATGCCTTAACAAGCAAACCAAGAAAAAAATTGTTTTAAGATTTCCCTGCGGTGGTTTGAAGTTGTCACATGATTGATTAGATTCGTCATTAGATTCAGTGCTCCTTTTGGTTCTTGACTTGACGGTCATCATAGTTGAAGTCAACCACAGATTTTAGTCTTGCAATACAGAGATCTTACAGGATTTCTCAAATTTGTCTCAGATGACCAAAGTTTTGCTGAAATTGCAGTGTGTTCAGGTTTTTTGTTGCCTTGCTTTTGTAGACAAATTTAACACTGCTTTGGAATTATTAATGCATTAGTAAATGTTGAAATTAACATTACTTATGTCATTCCAATCCTCTAAGACATTCATTTATCTTCTGAACACAAATTTAGATATTTTAGATCACAGGTGTCAAACTCAGTTCCAAAAGGGCCGCAGCTCTACACAGTTTTAATTCCAACCCTAATAAAACACCTGATCAAACTAATTGAGTCCTTCAGGCTTGTTTGAAACCTACAGGTAAGTGTGTTGGAGCAGGGTTGGAACTAAACTGTGCAGGGCTTCGGCCCTCCAGGAATTGAGTTTGACACCCGTTTTAGATGAAATATTAAAGGTTTCTCATCCTCTATAGACAGCAATGGTCTAGAGACGTTCAACGTCCAGAAAAGGAACCAAAAACATTCTCAACACATCTCATGTGACTTTAGTGGCTCAACTGTAATCATATTAAGCTCCAAGAACACTTTTGTGTACCAAAAAAAACTATAAAAACATCTTTGGTTGTTGTTTGTTTGACTTGAGTCCTTTCTTCAGATGCATCAGGTCAGACATTTATTATGGCCAATATGACGCTTGCACCCTGACAATGTGATGAAGAATAGGAAATATTGGTAAACAAAGTCATTTTGACATTAATTGTACACAAAAAAAGAGTTTTGGAGTTAAGTATGGTTACAGTCAAACCACTGAAGTCACATGGAATATAATTTCTGTTCTGAAGATAAACGAAGGTCTCATGTGATTGGAAGGAAACAGAACTATTTTAAGGTGAACTAATACTTTAATTATGCTGTAGAAGTATTGTTCATTCTTAGTTCATGTTAGTAAATTAATATTAACTAATGGAACCTTATTGTAAGTTATTATCATTTTTTCAATAGCACTCTGTGATACATATTAATACATTGATTGTATTTATTTTCTCCCAGTGCTGTTCATTGCAGATGCTCGTATCACCTTTGACAGTTTTCGCAAAAGTATGGTGGCAACAGCGATCTCCAAAACAATCATTACCGTCAACCCTGGTAAAGATGTGATATGCTAAAGTAAAGATATTTAATACTTTAACATTAAAATCTTTCATTTTTTTGTTGATTACTTATAGATACAGCAGAGGCAAACCAGCTGTACACATTTGTCAGGGAACTGTTACAATCTGGAGGACTGGATGACCAGGACTTCCTCTCTGGTGATGATGTGCAGTGTAAGTTATTATTGTTCACACTTTACATTAAAATTGCAGTCTTAGTTTTCATGTGATGTCTCACATTTTTCATATAAAGCATTTTAGTTATTGAAATGCTGCAGCAGGGGTTGTATATGGATCACAGGTGCTTAAAACTGTGTTTCTATTGTTTTTTTTTTGTTTGTTTGTTTGCTTTTGGTAGATTATGTAAATATTTGTGGCTTAAAAGTGCAGTAGGTGATCTGCCAAAACGATAACCGCTTGCAGGAATTTCATATATTACTAAGCCACACTTACATGCTATTTCAGAGCGAATATCGAGAGTAGCATGGTGAACAGTATAGGGAGGCTGTCATTGATCATAAATGAACCAATGTGAATATAAAAGCAACTTCAGCCCAATAAAGCAGGTTAGACAGAATAGTGCTGTTTGCTGATGTTTTGGTGTTGAACTAAAAAAAAATCTACATTTTTGACGCTGTTGAAGGTCCCTTATGAAACTGAAAATAGTCAAATCAATCTTTCGCCGGGAGATTTTAGTGGCTGAACAACACGTCTGTGCATATAAGCCATTCATAACACAACACAATCTAACATACAATCTAATAGAACATTGCCTGTCTAACAGAAATACTTCAGCCATGTTGTCGTACTTCATCCAGCGTGCAAAAGTAACTCCAATATTGATTCAGTATTTTCAAAAGTTTCAATTCAGCATTTGATTTCACTGCGTCTGTGATTGTCTCGTGAACGTGCGGCGCTCATGCAGGTGGGCACGCGCGAATGGCGGATCTGCGTGAACAGATGTGCAGAAGTCTGAATCTACATTTGCTGACAGACAGTTTGAGCTACTTATCGGAATTATGGGAGGTGTTGGCCCGACAATATTTAATTGGATGAACATTGTTTAGTTTTATGCCTTACCAAGAATATAAAAATACATATAAATACATTTAGATCATTTACTGTAATGATTACTATTGGACTGTGAAGAGACTTTTAACCAGCACAACAAAAAATGTTTCTGAAGACAATCACCTACTGCACCTTTAAAAAGTTATCTTGACAGATCTGTACTGCAGTTCTGTTAATGTTTCGCCATACAGTTTGTTAACAAACAATGTTAACAATGTTGACTCACTATCAACTATACATTTGTTAGAGTATTAACTCTTTTACCCTTCAAAGTCAAGGGCCGTGGGAAACTTCGGTGTGTTTATAAAATGTTTGTGGCCTTTGAGAGCATATGATATTATTACATTCACAGTCAATGCAAACTAGGTTGCATGAATGATGTAAAAGGCACACATTTAACACTGTTAAGGAGTAATAACGGTTAAACAGTCTTACAGATATAACCGGTCTTTTGAAGGCAGCCATAATGCTGAAGTAGCCCTCAGTGAAAATAAGTTTGACACCCCTGCTTTAACAAGGACTGTAACATTGACTGTTTTTGCAGGTTTTATCAATAAAACTGAAAAGTTGCTTAAAGTGAAAAAGAAACAGCTGAATTTTATTTTTTTAATTAAAATAAAATCAAAGTTAATGTTAACTTTAAAGTTAAAGTTATTATATATGTAGCTATTCGTGATAGCAGAGGTCCATTTGAAAATAACTAATATAATTAAATTATAATTACTAATCAACAACTAATCAGTTGTAATTTGCAATTAATATGAATTTAGATAAATAAACAGGCAATTCTATAATCACTGCTATATTTGGTACCTAAATGCTTTTGTTTGTTTCAGTTTTTGTCAAATGGTTATATTTTCAGTTATCTTAATAATTTGTCACTTATTGTCATTGATCACAAGATGTTATAGTTTATAACAATATGTAGTGCAAAAAAAGTTTGTTACATAGCTGAGAATCACGATTTCTTCTTGTCTAAATTAGTCAATGTATTTTTCCACCATACTGTAATTAAAATATTGAAATAATTAAAATAATGAAATATACTTTACTTTAGTAATATTCAATTTATTGGTCACACTATAAAATAAGGTTTCATTAGTTTATATGAACTATTAATGAACCATACTTGTGCAGCATACATTAATCATTGTTTAACATTTACTAATGCCTTATTAAAATCCTAATTTAGCCTCGTTCACATTAGTTAATGCACTGAGTTAACAAACTAACGAAGAAAACATGTATTTTCATTAACTAATATGAACAAATACTGTAATAAATGTTTTGTTCATTGTTTGTTCATGTTAGAAAATGCATTAACTAACATTAACAACTACAACCTTATTGTAAAGTGCCACTGATTTACTATTATTTACAAAAGGGTGTCCTACATAGTCAGTTTTTTTTAATTCTACAACATAGCAAAACTAGTTATTCAAAGTAAAATTGATCCTGTAAAAATAGCATACTGGAAGTGATGTTTCCCCTCACTATTTTGATCTGAAAAGGACTGAAAATTATGTTGTAAAATGTCAAAAGTGTCACCACAAGAGCAAAAGGAAAAAAACAACTTAATACTAGGTTGTGTACTCTGTTTTTTAACAATGATTTAATTAGTATTTCAGTTTTTGGCTAATGGGTTTAAAGTAGTAAATTACATTACCATCAAACAAACTTTTACCATGAAAACTGCATTATAAAAAACAAATGAATGCAAAATGTATCTGCAGCATTTTATCCTTAAATTTCTTTCCCCTCAGTGGATTCCATTAGAGACGTCATGACAGTAAGCCAACTTAAAACCAGAAGTCAAGAAAATGCAGATGCCATTCATTGCATCATATATGGATTCATCACCTGTTTTGATCTGGGTTCCTCTCCCTCCAAAATAATAACCAAGAGATGGTGAGATTGCAACGCTTACAGTTTTCCGAGATACAAATTCTCATGTCACAATATTAGTCATCATATATCCTGATAAATATAGTAGTCAACATTTAAAATGCATATAAAACATTTCAGAAAGTTCTTTGTAAATTGAATGAACTTTTACAAACTTTATTGATCCACTTCAAATGCTGCCTACTGTATATCACAATATACAGTATATGTGTTTTAATATAAATTCAATTAATTATTAGTATGTATGTATTGACCGTGCCACATTACAAATTAAATGAAATAATATATTTTTATTATCCATACAATATTTATATATTCTTATATTGCACAGCCCTAGCTTATTTTGCTTTTAATGTATAATTTCTCCACTAGTGCCAGATGCAAATTTCGAATCAATGAGGAGAGTTGGACGTGTTCCAGTGACATTTGTCCAAATCAAGGACAAGAGCTCCAGGCTAATGAATGCTTTGATGTGCTGGTGGACATCAGTGACCACACTGGCACTTTGCAGTCATGCAACCTGGTGGGCACAGTGGCTGAGAAAACTCTGGGCTGTAAAGTGAGCAAATCTAATGCTTATATTAATGCTGGTGAAGAAACAAAGCATTCAAATGTCATAATACATTTAAAATCTGTATACTAAACTTGCATTCTGGGTCTAATTGGTCTTAAAGATTATGTTTTAAAAAATATTTTTCAGCCTATTTGCTCCATACCTCATCTCATTAATGAGTGAATGTAGAATTGAGTGTTACTGATTTTATCTTATTACTCTTTAATGCTTTTTTAATTGTTAATCAAAATATAAAATAATTCGATCTTTGAAAATTTCGAATTGCACAAGAACTACACCAAATCCTATTTGATTATGCCATTGTAGGAAATTTATAGTAAATAAAAGAAAATAGTCTTACATAAGAAATATAAGAATATAGATTCTCGCTAGTTCAAGACCCGGCTAAGCCAGTTGGCATTTGTGTGTAGAGCTTGCATGTTCTCCCCATGTTGCTGTGGGTTTTCTCCAGGTGCTCTGGTTTCCCCCACAGTCTGAATACATGCGCTTTAGGTGAATTGAATAAACTAAACTGTCCGTAGTGTATGTGTGTGAATGTGAGAGTGTATATTTGTTTTAAGCATCCGCTGCGTAAAACAAATGCTGGATAAGTTAGCAGTTCATTCCGCTGTGGCGACCCTGATTAATAAAGGGACTAAGCCAAAAGAAAATGAATAAATTAATGATTTAAAAAAAAAACTGTCAAATTAAACGTACTTATTGATTTACCACAAAACAACATTACTCTAAAAAGTTTTCAAACAAATAAACTAATTTTATTTACATGAAGTTTCAGATTAAGATAGATAGTTTTACAAATACTTTTGGCGCATACTCTTTCTCCATTCATACCCAGGTCCAAAATTGTCCAAATATAAAACTTACAATTAAAAAATACATCTTTTAACTGTAAAGTCATTGTAAAATTATATAGGCCTTACAAAAATAAATTGCTTATTTTTGTGGTTTTAAAGTTCTGTAAAGTTTCATTACTAAAAACATTTTTAGAAAATGTTAGGTGATAGGAATATCTTGAAGAACAAACAAAAAAAGAACTGAATGCATTTTGAGGGTTAAACCACCTAACTTTTTCATTTATTCATTCATTTATTCATTCATTAGTCCCTTTACTCACCAGGGAACGCCACAGCAGAATAAACCACCAACTTATCCAGCACATGTGTTACACAGCGGATGCCCTTTTAGCTGCAACCCTATATTGGGAAACATCCATGCACACTCATTTACACACATACACTGTCCAATTTAGTTTATTGAGTTCACCTACTGTATAGCGCATATGTTTGGACACACATGCCAACAAGGGGAGAACATGCAAACTCCACTCAGAAATATCATCTGATTTAGCCAGAACTCGAACCAGTGACCTTCTGGTTGTGTGCTAACCACTGAGCCACCGTGTCACCAATGGCCTAACTGTCTCTAATAATACTTAATAGATATATAAAGACTGTTAGTATTGTGCAGTAAAGTAATATCATCTTGACAGACAGAAGAGTTTTTGTGCCTGTCGGAGTATCAGCGGACAAGCCTGCAGTGGAAGTTTCTTCTGGAGCGATGCAAAATATATCTGAAGGTTTTACATGTTTGTCACAAGTTTTTTTTTTTTTTTTTGGAATGTTGATCATGTAAGGATGTAATTCACCATTTTTTTTAATCGCAGGTTCTTCCATCTCCCAGAAGGAGAAGTGGAATGAAGGCAGACATCTTGTCATGCGGACTCGCTGACCCCGTTGAAGTGAAGCAAAACCTTCCCTCATTTGTGGTTTGATGTTTTGCATCAGCAACCAAACAACACAAAACAGTTCCTCATATGAGAGCAAATCGATTGTAAACGTGCAGAATTGATTGATTCATTCAATTTAAATGCAGATTATTGAGTAATAGTTTTCACATTTGGTTCCATTGTCCTCCTTTACCTTACACTGTTTTTGTTGTATATTTAAATTAATTAACTTAATTTATTTATATTTATTTTGGTACAGTTAAACTGATGTAACCAATTAAATAAATATTAAAAAAGAAAATTTTTCTGAACTGCGGAACTCTTGATTAAAGAATTGTTTCAGGGGGACGGTTTTGGAAGAAGCACCGCTTGGTTTGACATACATGTAAATAATGTCGTTTTCGCTTTTAAGATTATAGATTTACATATACCTAACTGGGGTTTAGCGCTTTCGTCTCGCTCAGGTAAGATTTACTGTACGTTATTTTTAAAATCATGTGTCTCAATGTTTATTTTAGACAATTTTTTCACGCTGAAAATTAATGTATAACTATGACAAGTGTTTAACGTCATTTATTTCTGTGCAACCACAGTTTAATCGTGCTGCAAAAATATAAATAAGCTATAGAAACTTCTATGTTAAAAGGTATTGATGTACATTTATACAATTTTGAACAAGCAGAGCTAAAACTAGGCATTCTTTCGCGTAGGTATCTTTAGGTCAGGACTGAGCAGAGCTGATCATGAATGTGAATCAAGGCACCGTCGGAAGTGACCCGGTGATTCTCGCCACCGCTGGTTATGACCACACCGTCAGATTCTGGCAGGCCCACAGCGGGATCTGTACGAGAACTGTCCAGCACCAGGACTCTGTATCCTTCACCCAACAGATGCCCAGTCATTACCAAGCTTAAAGTCTTCTTTATTGTTACCTCTTCAAAAAAAAAAAAAAAAAAACTTTTAAGTGTTTTGTTTTTGCGTAGGCTTGTTTTTACAGTACTGTAAAAATACTCAAATGTCTGTCAGTATTTTCAAATAGTAATATTTGATTTACCAGTCATACTAGTGACAATTTCACATCTGTCAAGCCGATAATGGAGAGATATCACATCCATAGGGAAGCGTTTTTCCTCATGAATGCAAAAATGTAAAAACAAATAAAATAAAATCAATGATTTTTGTTCCATATTGAGTCAACTCTTATCCTTTTGATTTATTTCTTTTGAGGTGTGTGTGGGTTCTCTTTCTCAGAATTTCTTCAAAATGTGTTGTATACTGTAAACTCGCTAACTTTTTTGTTCACATCCATAACACGTTTATTTTTCCCATTTAAAATCTAAATAGTGTTTACAGATTGATATTGTTCTGATCCCATAACTCCCATGGTTAGTTGTTTTGGAAAATATGTTATATGTTTCAATATAATCTTAACTTTTTATGTTTTGAGTTTTTACTGCAAATGTCACATCCTTAACGCTGGAATTGCTCATGTGTACTATAATAAGTACTAGATGGCAATGTATGTAAAATAGCTCAGTGGAGATGAAGTACAGTATGCACACTATGCTATTGCTTTAAAGACTTTTATTTGGACTGTACATGCTAAAGTGTCTCCTTGGACACATTTTGTCTGGAAGAAATGTGTAAGTTTATTCAAGTGCAAAAAAAAAGATGCTTAACTGAAAACACCAGCAAGTCAATTCTCTTGAAGTAACACCTGATAGGAGCATGATTGCTGCTGCTGGTAAGTTCTGCACAATCATTACTTAAAATCAACGATTTTCATATGAATATTTGTATTGTTTATCCTCCAGTTTTATTATAAAACACTTTTTGACTGTTACTTTTAAAAGGTTCTATAGGACTACATCTTTTTCGTAATCATTAAACCTTTTATTTTTTATTCCTATACCTTATTTAATTTCAGGTTATCAACACATTCGCATGTATGACTTAAATTCAAATAATCCAAACCCTGTGATCAATTACGATGGAGTCAGCAAGAACATCACGTCTGTGGGCTTTCATGAGGATGGTCGGTGGATGTACACGGGTGGAGAAGACTGCATGGCTCGCATCTGGGACCTGAGGTACTGAGTCCTGTTTGCTTAACGAAAATAGATTAAATAGTTCATGCAGTAGATGTTTTTCTCAAGTACTGTTTCCATTCAGGTCCCGAAATCTTCAGTGCCAAAGAATATTTCAAGTCAATGCACCTATTAATTGCGTGTGTCTTCATCCCAATCAGGTCAGTTAAAACATTTCATTACTTTTTTTAAATTCTCATAAGGAAACAAATCACATTTTCTTTAAATGTTCCTGTTTTAGGCCGAACTAATCGTTGGGGACCAAAGTGGTGTTATCCATATCTGGGATTTGAAAACTGACCACAATGAACAACTCATCCCAGAGCCAGACGTCTCCGTCAATTCAGTCCATATCGATCCTGATGCCAGTTATATGGCTGCAGTCAACAGCTCGGTCAGTAAACCGTCAATATGGCACTCTGCTAATGAAGCTGTGTTCTTGTGGATTGCAGGTAATAAGGGGGTATTCACCTCAAAAGTGAAAATCGTCATTTACTTGCATGGTTTTCAAAACTTACAATACATGTGTTCATTTTAGAAAAACAAATTAATGTGTATTTAAATAAAATCTTAAGGATTTCTCTCCTTCTACCTAAAGTCTGTTACACTTTAAAATATTAAAGAGATGTAAAACAAATCCATATAAATCAAGTGGTTTAAGACTTTTGAAAACACACAGTTGATTTATATGATGAAAAGATTGAATTTAGGCTTTCTTATACATGCAAACATTGATCAGAAAATATAAACAGAAGCTCAACCTCACCAGATGTCTGTGCTTCTTATGTGAACTGGATTTGATTATGGATGATTTGACATAATCCCAGTGAGTGTTGTTCTTCAAAAGTCATCCAGGAACTTTTTTTTTTATATAATTACAGGTCTGGTAGCTCAAACATGCTTGAGAGCAGGATTACTTCATGTAAACAGGATTAGATTGAGTCAGGTGAAGGTGATACTGATAGTATGTACCAACTGCTGATACTTTCAGCATGCGCCCAAATAATCTGAATTAAAAGAAAAGAATCATTTCAAACTCTTATGTAATCTACACTCCATAATTAAAGTACAAAATCTGCTGATAGCTTTCTAGAGGTTCAAATAAAACATTTTTGTACTTTGTGATTGGAATATACTTTTTAAGTAGTAATACACTATATATTTTTAAGATACCAACAAGGACCTTTAAGATACAAACGCATACTTTGAAATGGTTCTGTCCCAGTTTTGTACAAATTCTGAGAGTGTATGATAAAAGATATGGCAGATAATATATACATATATAAATAATAATTGTATAGTTTATAGAATCATGTAGATGTTGAGAGCTAATATGTGCCTTATGAAGAAACTTGAATACTTTTAAAGAAAATGACCTCCAAAAGTAAAACCAAATAAATAGCTAAATCTTTGACACTTGAAAGTTTAAAGCCTGCACAAACAGCCTGCAACAAACGTGGGAAGTTCTTGCATATTATATTGAACAAACCGTTAAATTCATTATGAATTTTGTAGTTTTGCTCAAATGGCTCATAAATGACGATTATTCAGATGAAGGCATTAGCCAGTCAATCAGCAAGTCTTTTACTGCATTGCTAATCATGATTTCAAGGATCAAGAGATCTGTCCTTACAGCAAACACAAGAACACAGTGGTTCTTGCAGATGTTCAGGCATGCCATGTGACATGATCAATTTGAATGTTGTAAACATTCTTCATATTTGGTTAATTTTTCTTTTTGTAGGGCAACTGTTATGTGTGGAATTTGGCTGGAGGAATGGGGGATGAAGTGACGCAACTCATACCCAAGACAAAGATCCCAGCTCACAAACGCTACTCATTACGCTGCAAATTCAGCCCAGACTCCACGTAAGTGTCTTGCAATATTAGAAGGACAATAAGAGAACTGTAAAAAAGGAACAGAAATGCCTTCATTTATTTCATACTGTTCTCCAAGTTTACTGTTGTACATCAAAAAACACCATCATTAATTTTTCGGTGTTGTTTTGACCTCTCTCATTAGAAGGAAATTGTATTGCATGTTTGGCTAATAGTTAGCAAATTTTTAGATTTGCAAACTATTTGGCAAACACACAATACAAGGAAAAACAATTCTGTCTGTGAGTTCACCGTTACACACTTTTAAATGGCCCTGATGTAGACAAAGTTATGCCAATTGTGTGCTAGTTTAAAGATCCGAGCTTATATTGAGGCTAATACGCACAAACATTGGATGACCGTTCACATATTGCATATTTTCCACACGCAAGTTCATTTTCCAATGGAGACGTGCGCTTTTTAGGAGTGGTGTGCGCATGGCTTGTAGAGCGGACCGACGCACTCGCACTCTTATGTTAGATGAATGATTACAAATTGTTCAAATGATCATGTATGTATGACTGCAGATAATAACAACAGTTCATTTAAATTCTTAGCTAATATATAGCTTAAAATTAAAATTAGACAAATATTTTTATTTATTTATTCTTATTTTTTTATATTTATTCATAGTTCTGTCATTTATTTTTATTGTAAAATTATGACTCATGTTTAAATCATTTTCATTCATTTTCATTTATTTCAAATTCATTTATTTTTAAGTTCAAAGAGAGAAATGGACTAATATTTATTTTTGTTTATTATTAGTTTATTAGTATTAGTTTATTATTAACAATATTTTGTGCTGTATTTGATTACTGAGCAGGAAACAACATTTTAAAATATAAGCAGTTTTCTTGTGATTTTCTAAACTAGTGGTGTTTTGAATGTAATAAATGCACAATAATGGTAATAATTGTGAAACCATGATAATTCTTCAGACTATATCGTACAACCAAAATCATTGCATTTCTAATTGATTTTGTTGTGCTTTGAAATACAACATTTAAATACACATTGTACAATCCTGTGATATTATGTAGTTTTAAAATACAACATTTTAATTTTTTGGTGTAAAAAAAAAAAAAAAGCCAACGTGGGTGTCTCAAGGAGCAAAATTACAGCATGTGGGCTCTTATATTGCAGTTGTGTCATCACTTATATTGCAAGTCATGTCTCTCCGGACCCTCATTTCGGATGCATTTCATGAACTGGCCCCCATTACAAACTCATTAAATAGCCCTGGCCTACATCCTTCATGTTAAATAATCAGTACATATGAAACTATATGTAATAACTGACAGTTGAATTACTGTTAAATCCAATATTGTCTAGACCAGGGATTTTCAACCATTTAGAACATGCCCCTCCCAAGTTTGTCCAATTTCACAACCCTGACATTGGGGTTGAGTCAAACATTGAGTACGTTTACATGGACACTAATACTTAATTATGATTAAGACAATACTCCAATTAAGAGTCTACCATGTAAACTGCGATTTTTTTTTTTTTTTTTTGTTTTTGTTTTTTTTGATTACCTTAATTTGACTAAAATCATAATTGAACTAAACAGAAATGGATTTAAGACATGTGGAGTATGCATATATTAGTGAAATTATTGACGTAAACACCGCAATCAAACTTATTACCGTCATGTAGGACTTTTCGCTGCATTTTGTGACATTATCCACACACACGCCTCAGTAAAGGACTGCAGACACACACCGTGAAATAAGGAAGTTTTTTTCTTTCCATCTGGCGTGCGGTATTATATTCCGTTAAAACAACGCTCTTCCAGTCCTTACTCCATACTCTTTTCTAATACACCAGTTTGTCACGGCGCATGAATGTACTGTTCATGAGTGAAAGTGAAACTGCCAAACTGCAGTTAAAGTTGAAAAATTTTAGATGAAACACCTAAAATTGCATAAAACTCTGCAAGAAACATGGATAGCCTGGTGATGTAACATTCAAAAAGCACTTTATGTAAAAATCTTAATTATATTATTGTCTTATTTAGATTAAGGCAAATAACTATTACTGATGTCCATGTAAACTTAGTCAGAAGTGTCTTCAAAGTAAGTAAAAAAATCCACTTAGGCACTTTTAATTACCGTCATTCATTTTAAGTAGCACACGGCCCTTTTTATTGTATAGACTATTTCAAGGTGATGATGTCATTGGCCCTAAAACGTTTCCTGTTTGTTTTTAAACTATTTCATAAGACAATTCAATCATATCTTAATGTTAAAACGCCTTTCATAACATTACTAATCAATTTGTGAACCATTTCGGATTATCTGAAGCTATGAAAATTCAAATATATATATGTAGCAGGGAATATGTTAGGACCATTGTTATTGTTTACATCCATCTAAATATTGTATATATATTTTATTTGAACACATTAACTCTACAGGTGCCTGATAGTTAGCGGTGGAACTAACGTTAATCAGATTCACTCTAGTGAATGCATACAAATTGTCATCATAATGTACTCGAGTGCACGCCTCAAATTCCCGCGCCCCCCTTTATAGGTGCTGGTTCCCCACAGGTCAAAAACCACCGATCTACACAGCATAATTTAACAATCTCTCTAAAAATCCAGAAAACCAATTCTTGATAAAATGAATGGAACAAAGTTTTTACTGACATGGTGTGGAACTTAGATAGACTCTGCTAATGATGAGATCAGAAGGGAGACAATGCAAAAACTGGATTTTTCCCCAAAAACAAAATTTGTGGTTTTGTTATAGATCTGTGTCTGCATGTCACATTATTACGTTATAAAATGGCTCCAACCTGTCATTTGGGCACATTGGTTGGCTTTAATATAAGTTTTCTTATATTTTCCTAGTACAGCATCCTCTTAAATACTTCACAGTGCTTGCAGTTTTGTTAAGAAAAACTCTATATAATAAAAAATAAATCAATGCAGAAATGTTTCCACTTTGTACTAGATTGCTGGCCACATGCTCTGCTGACCAGACCTGTAAAATTTGGAGAACCTCAAACTTCTCACTGATGACAGAGTTGAGCATTAAGAGTAACAACCCAGGAGAGACGTCGCGAGGCTGGATGTGGGATTGTGCCTTTTCTGGAGATTCACAGTACATTGTCACAGGTGAGCACAGGGATCTCAGTGGTTCAAATGTGAGTTGATTGACCATGTTTTCTCATCCGGTGCAGGATTTGATCTCACTTTACATTAGTTGTAATTGGGTTATTTTTGTGAGGAATAGGAGTTATTTTAGGATCAGGTTTCATAGTGCTGGTTATATTAACTATTTATTGGGTGAAGAATCATAAATGGTAACTTCATTGACTACAATATATATTTTATTGAAAATTCTTATAATAGTATTTCAGCCAGGGATTAAGGGTTATTGTTTTATGTAGACAGTAAGTGCAGTGTTTGTTATAATAACACATAAAAACCCACCCAAAAGAATTTCAACTACAGTTTATTTATATAAGACAAATGCTTCCATCACATATTCCTATACAGAATATTCACCTTATTCTGCAATGCAGATGTAAATTCTTTCCTGCAGTTGTTTTGGGACTTCCAATTTCTTTCTTGTGGGGAAATGAGTTGGAATGACAAATGGTAGTAAATGGTCAAACTGTTTTCTATTGTGTTTATAGCAATGCAAGAAAATAAAAATGATATAAAATAACAAAATCAAGCTGCATATTACGTTAAAAATCAATGGAGGTAAATGGGACCAGAAGTCTTGAGGCAATTATGTTTTAATGGCTACACACGCTCTTACGTGAAAGAATAAGGTCAATACTGATGGATCAAAATCAGTAGACCGTAAATTGTTTTCATATAATCAACCAAAATTTCACTTCCCATGTACAGCTTAATTTTCTTTACAACAGAAGCAAACATTATCATCTTAGCTTGACTACATATTCTGTGGAACTGCATTTTTTTATTGTACCTTTTTTTTTATGTAATCCAGCACTTATGATATGAACTTTTTACAAAGTCCTGTAAATAGGAACTACCCTGTGAAATAGTGTGCCCTTCACAAAAAAAAATCATGCGGTTAATTCCTGTTGATGTGTTGACTGTTGTATCTTTTTATCTGGTTTTCAGCCTCCTCTGATAACCTTGCTCGTCTGTGGTGTGTGGAGACCGGAGAGATCAAGCGGGAGTACAGCGGCCATCAGAAGGCCGTTGTGTGTTTGGCCTTCAATGACAGTGTGCTTGGATAGTATGTAAAACAAACTCACATTATAGCTGATGCTATTAAAACACAAACAGCATCCATTAATATTGTGGTATTAAGGGGATAATTTACTTGAAATTTAAATTTGCTGTTAATTTACTCACCCTCAGGCCATCCAGGTGATTTGTCTTGTGTCTTCATTAGAGCATTAAAGTTTTTTTTTTTTTTTTTAAAGTGGTGCTTGTTAAATTTATAAATGCAAGTCCATGACCGGCTCTTTTATAATAATAAAAAAAAAAAAACTGGCAAAACAATCTTATAACCCATGGCTCCTGACTTAAATGTATTGTCAGTAGCAACTGGTAGGGGGGGGGGGACTTTTACGAATTACCATTTTCAATAAGGTTGACATTTTCAGCTACAAATCTTGGCCTAAGGTTGAATAAATTAACAGCAGATTTTGATTTTTAGACGAAACATCCCTATAAAATGGATTACCTTCATATGTAAAAAGAGTTTTTGTTGCAATATCGTCATTTTTTTAAGCCCTTATATTATAATACCTTGTATTAGAATACATCTAGTGTGCTTCATTTATACTCACCTACAAATTGTCAAAAATACATTACATTAATGATTAATATTCAGACGTCAAAAAGATTATTTAATTCTAGAATTAAAAACTGAATGTACAACAGACTGAACACAATGGAGCTTTATTGTAGACCAATCGTTTTTTTCCATTACTCATCTGCATCAGGTTACAAGAGGTACGAGTCTTTGCGCCAAGGCATGTTCAAACATCACTGCAAAAATGGGGCTAAATACAAGAGAGGGTGAAGATAAGGATTTAGCAGATAACATGACATGATGGTTCCGCCTGCGTTGCCAGATTGGCATTATGTATGGCATTTGTGTAGCCTCTCCAGTTGCTCTCATTGAAGTCGGCGCAGTTTGTTTCTCTGGCGTGTGTTGAAACACCGTCGCTTGAATGTCACTCTGGCAAGTAGTAGAAACACACGGAAACGCAAATGTTGCTGGGGAAGCAGATGTCGATGCAGAAGTAAATAAGTCTTTGTTTTCCGGGACCTTCAGGAAGAAAGGAGAGAAATCTTAAGGTTCTTATTTCTCTATGGATGTCCCGATGACATTCGTCCTGTTCTTCGTTCATGCTCTGCTGGCTCTAAAAAAGGTCACAACTCCATCACTGGACAACTAGATTGGGTTTCTGTCACACTGTGCTCTTTAAAGAGCAACTCAGCATGTTCTTGGCTTCTTACGCAATGTCTTCTGGATATTTACGTCATCAAAATTAATTTGTTCAGTGTTTTATTCACAATATTTTACTAAGAGGAATATTCTGGGTGCAGTTCAATTTTAGCTCAGCATAGCATTTGAGGTATATTATTGATAAATTCTTCATCAAAAACCAACATCGCAAAAGTTGTTTTATACACATAGAAAGCATATTAAATGCAAGTGTATGCTGTAATATTTCAGCTAATCTTTGTTGAAATAAAATGTAAAAATAATATGTTGTGGACAGATGCTGTTTTATCATCATTTCTGTTTATTTTGTTGGAGAGGAAAGAGATGAGCTCATATTTACATATTTAGAGGTCAAAAGTAGAGAACAAATTAAAATTTCTTTAAGTCATTCAATCCTATTTGAAATTAACCTAACAAAAGAACAGTTTTTAAAGAACGTTTCATATATTTGGAAGAACAGTATAAAAATGTAATTATAAATATCAGAGAATACTTTCAGATTTTTCCCATTGGTGTTAATTTGGTGGTAATTTCCTTAATTATCTGACTAAGTCCATTTAACTGACAGTATATTATTGAGAGGAAACGTAATGTAGTAAATCGCAATGGTCAGATCTGTCCAAGACACAGCTGAACAGACTAAAGGTCAATTTAAGATGACGTTTAGGAGAATCTGGACTGAAAGCCTCTGCAGTGTCTAAACCTTCAGAAAAGATCAAAAAGCTGGACGTCACTTTAATGATGAAAGGAACCTTAACTCCCAAAAAGAAACCTTATGTGTGTCAGTAAACTGGGGAAGGTCTGAACCCAAACTGTAAATGTGAAGTGTCATGGTTCAGTGTTGTTTTCTACAGCAAGAGTTTGGCCTCTTGTTGTGAAAGCAAATGTTTATAAAAAAAATCATTAACAACATGCAGTCCCTTCTTTTCTTTTATTGCTCAGTCATTCAGCAATTTTCATGCATGACAAAGAGTCTCGTCAAACAGTAAGTTGACTAAAACAGTTCCTTAAAGCTGACCAGCCAAGATTCCTGATTTAAACCTGATTGAAAATACTGGAAAATCCTTGAAGACAAATTTATGGCTAAGAAACACTACAGTCAATGAATTGTGGAAGAGACTGAAGAAGAGCAGATCAAGTGATGGCCTGTAAGAGACTAGTGATGTCCTGTGGCAGCAAATCTGCTGAAGGCCTTTTAACTTCCCACTCATTTTTAAGCTGTAATCTTAAGAAATTGTAGTTGTTATTTTTCTGTTTTATTACATTTGATCTTAAAATTACATTGTTTTTTTTTGTTGAAGTGCCTTTTGTAGTCATTTTACTGTGTAAAGTAGCAACTACCAGGGTTCACTTTTTAAGGGGTCTTAAAAAGTCTTAATCTTCATCTAGCCAAACAATCACCAGCAATGCATCTCAATAAAACTTAAAAATTAAAATTTTATTAATTAAAAATGTAATTTTTAACTCTATCATAATGGTTAAATTATTTTCCTTACAATAACACTTGTTTAAAAGTGCTCCATGTATTTACTGCTAAGGACACCGACCGAGACAGATTGTTGTTCATATATTTAGTTTATCATAGTTTTTAAAACTTAAAACATTTGTTATTTCTATTATTTCAAAGAAAGTTCATGTTGGAAAAAAAAGTGTATGGATACAAGTTAAGCTTGCTTGTTTTTTTACACAATAGTTAAAATATTTAATGACTAATTTATTATTGTATTATTAAATGAATAAATTATATATATTTTTTATTGGGCAAATAAAAATCTTTTCTATCTGGGCCATTAAAAACATTATTTAACCTTTAGCCCTTTATGGGTCTAAAATTTAATTCATAATGGTCTTAAAAATGTCTTTAAAATTCTTAACCTGCAGAAACACTGAACTACATTTCCTTCAAAATGATAAAGATTGCATTATTTATGGAGAAATCAAGAGTTCATGAATTCTCAAATTTTGATTACCACTAAACATGTAAAGTTTGTACTGCTCCTAGACTTGTGAATGGTATGAATGCTAGTGTGCATTAAAGAATGATCCAATAGCTGCTTTTCCACTATCATGCTGAACCGTTCTATTGGTACGGTAACGGTTGTTTCTCCACTGAGCCTGGAACGGTACGGCATGACTACAAACCGTTCTTGACCTGTAATTCTCGGCACGGTTAGACAACCGTAGATATTTTATTTATTAAAGTTATTATTTCATTGACGTGAATACAATTAGCCTAACCATGTATGATATATCTAACCCGTCATCTAAAATCTTAGGATAATAAAATAGCCTATTGTTTTATTCATGGCTGGAGTTTGATTAATTTGATTGAAATCATAGGCAATAAGACCTATAAATTTCCTGACTGAATGTGAGTTTGCATGCGGCACTGCATTTGGTAGCACAAAACTCGCTCTGATCCGGGTGAGAACTTTAACAAAGACTACAAGCGCTGCTGAAAGACTTTTTTTCCTGCTGTGCATCGAATAAAGCTTATAAAGACATGCTTAACATCATCGATGTCCACAACAACATCACTATATCCATGGAACACGAGGAAATAATTGCACTTTTTAATTCAAAGCTCAGACGGCTTGTTAATTTAATACAGACGAGACAACCTGAAGGATGGTTACAGCATGTCGGCTGTCCAAAAGTCTACAGTCGTCTCATCTGCCACAGTCTTACCTTCAGATTTTCTAGTCCAGTAGACAGAGGCCTGTTCACAGAGCGACTGAAGAGGTTCTTGAAGACTTGAAGCTTCGACACGACTGCCAGGCATCACTCCCAAAAACTCAGTATGTTTTTCAGTCTGATTTCCCACCACCCAGACCTGACGGACCTGTGAGAATCATCACATATCTCAGTGTATATCATTCTCGGTAAATTATCCTCTAATGGCGTGATACACTCCAGCCATATTATTCCTGTGTGAACGCATACACTGTATAACTCACCAACGTATAATTGTGTCTTGAGGGGTTTTAAGTGTTTCCTTGAGTACAAAAGGCATTTGTAATTACACCACTTACTCCTCTGAGAGATCAGATAGACACTTGCTAAAGCGCAGCAATGCTTGAGCGAGCCTGCGACAAGCAGTTTATACTTCTCAATAGCTCATTGTGCACCGAAAAATTGGAAATCGTGTTCAAAAGGCTATTGACCACAGATTGGGTTTCCCAAAAGTTTGCTCTAATGGCTTTAATCAAACGCAATGATGCAAAAATCTCAACCAAGATTTTAAGTGGTCAGCGATACTTATCGGTTCAACAAGCCAGCCCGTCCAGCACAGATCATAACCCAGCGCATGAATCAGCTTGTTAAGTGCTGAGAGAAGTGTGTCCAGCGCAGGTCTCTGCTCTGTTTGCGGAAGAAAGCTCTGTCTTTCCAGTAGTGACTTATAAGAGGAAAAAGCCAACAGAGTGGCCATTGTGCACCCTGTGGTCCCATCCTGTAAGGCGATCCAGCAGAGGTGGATCAGATGGTCTGTGGAATTCGGGCTCTCCTGGGCTGGTCCGCTCCATTACTCCCTTTCTGGAGATGTGGAGGAGAAAGCAGCCAAAAGAGCTCTCTAATCTACACGGGAGCACTGAGGTGGTGCTGCGTTCAAGTGTCAGTCAATTTGCCAGACAGCTTTAGGTTTACTTTAGGGTTGTTTTAACCCAACAATGGGTCAAACATGGACAAATCCATCCATTGGGTTAAGAAGTATCAAGTTTTGTCCATTTTGACCTAATGTCTTTAGTGTTAGGACTTGAATTAAAAATTAGCCAGTTCTTTCTTAAAGAACATGAAGCATTTAAATAAATAAATAGGATTTACATTTGACATTTCTCATTATAATGGGGAAAAAAATGGAAATTTGAAATGTTTTACCTGTGATGGCACTGCTAAACTTCAAGCAGCCATTGCACCAATGTCACATGTCCCTCAGAAGTCATTCTAATATAATTTGAGGCTCAAGATATGTGTGTATTTTATCAGCATTGAAAACAATATTGCGAGTATTTTTTTCGGGAAAACCATACATTGTATTTTTAGTTTTTTGTTTTTTTATAAACACTTATCTGACACATTTTTTTGCTTTATTTCACTGCTATTTGTGCTACAGGAGGGATATTAGTTTGAGATTCTTAGATTAGAACTACATAAAATGTATTTATTTCTGTATTTAAAAATATTTCTCTGTATGTACATATGCTGTAAAATGTAAAAAAGGAAAAGAAAACAGCAGCTGTGGTTGCCAGAATTTTTAAAAACTCGGGTCACACATTATTTTGATGGTCCGCTTGTTGAATTTAAGTTACATTACATCTACATGCCAACTAAGTCTCATTAGATCATAAGTAAGAAGACTGTTAGGTTGGGGGTTTGAGTTAGTGTAAGTTGACATGTACAGTACTTGCAAAGTTTCTTACAGTCAGGTAAATGTCTGCCGAAGAAGCAGTATCAGCAGATATTAAACAAAGTCTACTAATACTTAAATAGACCAACAAAATAAAGTTACCAAAACTAAAAGAAACCGCAATTTTTTTATTTTATTTTATAGTAAACTACCGTATCTCATTAATTTATAGTGGTAAAACACTGTTTTAAAGTGTTAAAATCTACACAATTATCTTTATTACACTGACAAAAGTCATATAATGAACCAAAGCTCATCACAAACATGTTTTCCACAAACAGAGAAACATACTGATATATATATATATATATATATATAAAGTAATTTACTAAACTATTATGGTGACACACATGAAGCTAAAGAAAATTCAAGATTAGATTGAATCGAACTCTAATATAAGTAACCAATGAGAGAGAAAAAACATTGCAACATAAACCAAAACTAAATAAATAAATAAAAATTGTGAAGTGTGATGAAGGGAATTCTAGGAAAGTCAATTTACAGTTAATTACCACATGTATGAAGGAAACTTATGTTACAAATTTTTACAATCAAAATCATGGCCAGTTTTATCCCGTATTTTTGATTGGAATGGAAATCATTAAACAATTCCTTGCTAAATAAAAATATTAAAAACAAACAGTACCACAAAACACTTCAGCTGAAGCACAATTACAGCAAACTCAACAGGCTGAAGTCATTTTACCAGCTGCTCTGACTCGTTCAGTTGAGACTGCATGTTCTCAAAATCCCAGCTCTCCATCCGGCGAAGAAAGCAGCTGTCCTGGTTGTCAGGTTTATAGCAAACCAAGCCCTGAGGAAGCCAGATATCAAAATGTAACTGAGCTTTATAGGGGAAAAAAAGCTTAAGCTGTGGAGAAAGAAAGGGGTCTTACATGTCTCAGGTCAAAAATGACCGTGGAGCTGTGGTTGACATGAGAAGTCACAGAATAGGTCACTACGTTGTTATTCTTGTCGATAACAGTGGACTGACTGATCAAGTCACTTGTGTGGTCAGGGATTCTGAAGACCTGCATTGAAGACTGAGCAGGAAAACTGGTTCAGTGCTAATTAGTTGATGAGGAAAATCATCATTTACTGCTTGGACTCTTACTTGTGTCCTGTGCTGAAGCCCTAGATGTGCTGTGACACCGAGAGCAATGATAACAATGAGCAGCATGACAGCCAGACTCAACCACAGCACTTTGTGAGGAACCCTGGAGGAGCTCGTGGGATCACACTGCTGGAAAATCCAGGAGATGTTTAAAGCCGTTGAAGTACATTTATATTAAAGAAGATTAGTGGTTTGTACACATACAGTGAGTCAGCCATAAAACAGCTAAGCCAAACACAAAGTGACATATTTGTGCTACACACTTTCAAATAAAGATTCCAAAGGGGTGTTTGGCAGAAAAACCCAAGGCATTGAGAACAAGTTGGTTCCCCAAAGCAGCAGTTCTTTTAATTCTAAAAAGCTTATTCCATCAATAAAGAACCTATTATGCAATGAAAAGATCCAATGCTTTATTCTTCTGGGAACATTTATTTTAGGAGTGTCACAGAAGAATGATATAATTCCAATAAAGTCCAATAAAGAACTTTTAAAAGAATATTCCCATTGTATAAAAGACTCTTTATTCTGAAGCGGTCCTGTCGATTGTTGAAGTGTCCTTTTCACTGGTTATTTAAAAACTTTAGACAGTATATATATATATATATATATATATATATATTTATATATATTTATATATATTTATATTTAATTTATTTATTGCATAGAAATGTCATAGAAGAACCAGGTTTGGTTCCACAAAATAATCTTTCAGTTCATAGTTCTTGAAAACAACAGTGTTTTCTTTGTTAAGAACACTTAAAACAAAGTCAAACATGTATTTTAAATGTCTGTTTTTATAATGGAATATAATATTTTATACAATGGAAACATTCCGTGGATGTTAAAGATTCTTCAGTGGCAATAAAGAACTAATTTACTGCATTTAATGAATAATTGAGTGAGTTAATTTGTTTAATTTAGTGCTATAATACACAAGGTTTAAATGTTGGAATTGCAGAAGAATATCTTCATTTTAACACTCAAAAAGAAAAATTAGAAAAATAGTTCTTATAAAGTAAAAGTAAAAAAAAATTAACTGTGTTTTTGGGAAACCAACAATGAATTTTCTATTGCGAGTCACATGTAAGTACACAGTAACTAGCCATAAAACAGCTTGGATAAACCCAGCAAGCATTTTTCTGCTTTTAAAAGATGTCTAATAGACGTACAAACATAGTCTTCTTCACTAAAACAAGGCTAAATTTGGGCTGTCAGTAAAAATCTAATAGACGTCCAGGAATAGGTCAAAACTAGACTAGTCATCAAATGAACAGGAATAAATGACTTCACATAAAGAAGTAATCTAATCTTTTTATTTGATGACTAGTCTAGTTTTGACATATTCTTAGATGTATATTAGATGACAGCCAAAGTTTAGCCTTGTTTTAGCCAAGCTGTCTATGTTTAGATGTTCATTAGATGGCTATTAAACACAAAATTGTTTGCTTTTAATGAACAAAATCTAAGTTGCAATCAGAATTATTAACCCCCTTGAATTATTAGCCCTCCTGTTTATTTTTTCAGCAATTTCTGTTTAACAGAGAGAAGATTTTTTTCAACACATTTCTAAAAATAATAGTTTTAATAACTCATTTCAAATAACTGATTTTTTTTATCAGTAAATAATATTTCACTAGATATTTTTTTCAAGACAATTCTATACAGCTTCAAGTTACATTCAAAGGCTAAACTAATTTAGTTAGGTTAACTAGGCAGGTTAGGGTAATAAGTAATTTGTTTGTTCTGTAGACTATTGAAAAATACAGCTTAAAGGGGCTAATAATTTTGACCTTAAAATGTTTTTTTAAAAATTAAAAACTGCTTTTATTTAGGCTAAAATAAAACAAATAAGACTTTTTCCAGAAGGAAAAATATTATCAGACATTCTGTGAAAATTTCCTTGCCCTTTTAATCATTTTTTACAAAATATAAAAAAAAAATTAAAAGGGTTTAATAATTCTGAGTGCAACTGTAAATTCTTGAAATGTTCAATGCTAATCATGAACTCACCATGCGCTGTGGCTCCTCCAGAGCGGCTTCAGAATGCTTCCAGCACCTCACCATTCTGCCCTGTTTTGCTTCTCCTCACAGTACCTGTTCTACTCTACTCTGTTTAAGGCAATGGTCATGACTGAGACTGACCAGCGGAGTCTGCAGTACAGGTGTAAAGACTTTCTGCCATCCTCTGCCCCCCACCTCTTGCCTTACACCAGGTAAAGTCCAACCCACTGGCGGACTCTCTAAAGCAGACAATAAACAAAGGGGACTGGTAGATTGGTGCCGTGGACAGAGCTTTTCCTCACAGAGACAGTTTTAAGACACCGACTTGCTTTCCTTTAGGCTGCTGAATGACCAAGGTGACTTTAAAACTTCAGGTGTGTCTACAGTTCGAAAAAGTTACAGGAAATCCATTACTATACTGTAAAAAAGCCTAGGTTCCACACCATTGATTTGTGTTGGGACGGTATGAAGGATTTAGTTTTATTAGTTTTTACAAATTTGGGTTGACTGAATGAAAAATTAAGTTGTCCCCCAAAAATCTGAAGAATTGTGGGGTTTCAGCTCATTTTAAATAAGTAGTTTGAACAAACAGGCGTCGACTGGGTGAGAATGTTTACATTTGACTAGTATTTGTAACCAGAGGTTGCTAAAACATCAATAACTGTCATTCTAGCTATCATGAATAGACCTTCTTGAGTGTTAACAGTGGGGGGGTGACATCCTACATCATCCTTTTGTTACTGTCATTTAACCTCGATTAATCTCTAAACCTGCTTGAAGAAACCTCAAAGTCTCCTGGTTTTCACTTTCCAGTTTGCAACTCTAGTTTCTCTCACTCTGCTCTGCTGTGATCTTGATCTACACGTCTTCAGCCTCTAACGCAGTTCATTGACTTCATGTCTTTGTTGCTAAAGATTTTGCTGAAATTTTCAATCAGGTTTATGTCAGTACTGCCATTTCATTTTGTCAGTGTTTTCAGCTTTAAAGAACTTCAACCATTTTGTTGTGTGACTGGGCTCATTGACCTGCATGAAAATTGCTGAATGACTAAGCAATGAATACAGGGAAGGAACCGTATGTTGCTGATAAACATTTGCTTTCATTCTGTTATGCATCTGAAGGAGAGGCCAAACTCCTGCTGCCGAAGACGAACCCCATTGATTGCCAACAGATATTCTCTGCATCATCCTGTCTTTATACATTTGTTTTATGGATTTCCAGTCTTTTTTGAGGACTTGATAGAAATCACAGATCTAGGATGGCGAACTTCTCTTTCAATGCGTAAAAGGCTTGTTGCTTTGCAGAGGAGTATAAAAAGTTCTCAAAAATGTTATTCTGGTGAAAGTACAAATACTGAGAGAAAATTTTAGTCAATTAAAAATAGAAAAGTCAGGCCAGAAGCATAAAGTATTTAAAAAAGAAATTTTACAAGTCTCCTCCAGACTTGTTTAAATTGTGTTTTATCATTTTTAATTTAGCCAATCTCTGGGTTTTATGTGAGCAATTAGCATAGATCATTGAATATGCAAGCAGGTGGTCACGTTATATTAACAGAATATCTCACTGACAGGTCATTCAGGGTGTCTTGGAGGGGAGAGGAGTCCAACCTACAGCATCTAAACACTGGGGTACCTCAAGGCTCTGTTCTTGGGCCACTTCTCTTCTCCATCTACACATCATCTCTAGGACCAGTCATCCAGAGACATGGATTCTCCTACCACTGCTATGCTGATGATACCCAGCTATACCTCTCTTTTCATCCTGATGATCCCTCGGTTCCAGCTCGCATCTCAGCCTGCCTGTTGGATATTTCACACTGGATGAAAAATCATCATCTTCAGCTGAACCTCGCAAAAACGGAAATGCTTGTAGTTTCTGCCAACCCGACTCTACACCATAACTTTTCAATCCAGGTGGATGGGGCAACCATTACTGCATCCAAAATGGTGAAAAGCCTTGGAGTAACAATTGATGACCAACTAAACTTCTCTGACCACATTTCTAGAACTGCTTGATCGTGCAGATTCGCACTCTATAACATCAGAAAGATCCGACCCTTCTTATCTGAACATGCAGCTCAACTCCTTGTTCAAGCTCTTGTTCTTTCCAAACTGGATTACTGCAACTCTCTACTAGCTGTGCTTCCAGCTAACTCTATCAAGCCTCTTCAACTGCTCCAGAATGTAGCAGCACGAGTTGTCTTCAATGAACCTAAACGAGCACATGTCACTCCGCTGCTAGTCCGTTTGCACTGGTTGCCATTTGCTGCTCGCATCAAATTCAAAGCTTTGATGTTTGCCTACAAAGTGACTTCAGGCCTTGCTCCTTCTTATCTGCTCTTACTTCTGCAGATCTATGTGCCCTCCAGAAACTTGCGTTCTGTGAATGAACGTCGCCTCGTGGTTCCATCCCAAAGAGGGAAGAAATCACTTTCGCTCACGCTCAATCTGCCCAGTTGGTGGAATGAACTCCCTAACTGCATCAGAACAGCAGAATCACTCGCTATTTTCAAGAAACGACTAAAAACTCAACTATTTAGTCTCCACTTCACTGCCTAATCTGCAACTGCCTCTCTGAATATCACACTAACTGTACCCCAAAAAAAAAATACTAACACTACTAATACTTTCCTTCTTAGACTTTACAGACCTGAAACTTGCCTATAGCACTTATTCATTGTTGCTCTTAGTTGTAAATTTCTTCCTTGTCCTCATTTGTAAGTCGCTTTGGATAAAAGCGTCTGCTAAATGACTAAATGTAAATGTAAAATGTAAATTTAGCTGTTTAAATCTGCAGCCATTGTGCAGCCTCAAAATGACTTGATTATTACTCCAGAATGAGAGTGTAGTTTTTAGCCATTCATTTATTAATTTTTCTTTGGCTTAGTCCCTTTATTCATCAGGGGTCGCCACAGCTGAATGAACCGCCAACTTATTCAGCATATGTCAACCCAGTTTTGGGAATCATCCATTCACACACACATACACTACAGACAGTTTAGCTTACCCAATTCACCTAAAGCACATGTCTTTGGACTTTGGGGGAAACCAGACCACCTGGAGGAAAGCCACGCGAACACGGCGAGAACATGCAAACTCCACACAGAAATGTCAACTGACACAGCCAGGACTCAACCAGCGACCTTTTTGCTGAGGTGCTAAACACTGAGCCACCCGTTTCTAGCCATATCGACCTTAAAAATAGCAACATTTATTTTATTTTACATGGGTGTCTGTGTAGATCTAACTGAAGAGTCATGCTTTAAATAAGAAAATTATCAAAGCTCTTTGGTAATTTGTGAGCAAGATGCTAATGGTCTAAATTGAATCAATGATCTATCCTAAGCTAAGCTAAAAGTGCTCCTGTCGGACATGGGGATAGCCTGAATGGATTCAAAAATGGTAAAATTCTCAGGGGACTTGTAAAATGAAAAAAATAAATTAATAAAATAATAATAATGTTATATATATATATATATATATATATATATATATATATATATATATATATATATATATAATTATTATTATTTTAATGATCATTTTACAAGTCCCAGGAGTTGACCCGAGTATTCATTCGTTCATTTACTATTTGCCTTAGTCTCTTTATTCACCTGAGGTTGCCACAGTAGAATGAACTGCCAGCTTATCCAGCATATGTTTTTATGTAGCGGATGCCCTTCCAGCTGCAACCCATCACTGGGAAACATCACTACAAACTCATTCATATATACAATACGATCATTTCACTTATGCTACGTCCTACGTGGGGGAAACCGTAGCACCCAGAGGAAACCCACGCGAACACAAAAATGCCAACTGACCCAGCCAAGGGTTGAACCGGGAATCGTACTACCCACTGTGCCACAGTGACACCCTACCTGAGTATTAAAAAGGTAAATTCAAAGTGGCCAGTTTTGAGCGCTTTGGTTTGGAATTTCACTCCAATATGGCAGTCATACATTTTTTTGCTCTTAAGCACCCTTCAGAGAGTAATATTTGGCATTTGGAACACAGTAATATATCTTATGTGCTGTGTGTTGTGGTATTTGATGCAACGTGACATCACTTGACCATTAAACATGTTTGCCCAATTTCATGGAATGCTGAAACGAATTTTATTGGCAGGATTAATTACATTTAAGTTAATATGGGCATCAGCAAATTCAACAATTTGGCACTAGCAAAGAAAAACAGAATGAATCCATCTCCAAAAATGACTCATTTAAAAAGTACTTTTGTCTTCTCTTTGTGAAGTTTATTTATAAACTAATTTTGAGAGGACCACATGTTTATAATTGCTTGTGGCTGGTCCTGCATCATCCAATTTATGATTCACCAATCAGACGATTCCTAAACCACTGTAAATATCCTTCCATATTAAATCCATCTTCGTTTTGATGAATCCCTCCTTCCACCCCTACACCTCCCCCTTTCCTAGATGGGTGGCACAGTGGCCCAGTGAATAGCACTTTCGCCTCACAGCAAGAACATCACTGGTTCTAGTCCTCACCAAGCCAGTCGACATTTGTGTGGAGTTTACGCGTTCTCCCCGTGTGGGTTCCCTGGTTTTCTCCCACCGTCCAAAAACATGCAACTTAAGTTAATTGACTAATGCAAATTGGCACCATGGACATGCTCCTAGTAAGCAATTATCTCTTAAGAGCGATTACCATCTTTTCATTAGCAACTACAGCGTCAGGGAAGTTCTCAAGATGTACCTAAGCTCATACTTCCCTCTCGCCCTGCAAATGGGAGGGAGCCCCGGGCTTGACTCTCTTCTAAGACAGCATGGCAAACAAGCTTTATAATCAATCAACAGCTAAGTGTGAACTCTTGAAAAGTACAAATAATAATTGTACTTGAGTGCAGAATCCTGAAAATAACACTATAGTACAATACCCAAGTACTTCACTCCTGTTTTGCAGTTAAATAGGAGTGTCAGACTATTAAACAAATTACTACCAGGTGCCAGTTAACTAAGCAATATTTGAATGTGTTCTCTAATTTTTAGTAGTGTTTTTTCTTATAATAGTTTTTTACATCTTTAATACTGCGCTTCATGATGTAACTTTACATAAAAACTGCTCATTTACTTCTGTCAGGATTATTTCAAATAGGACTAACCTCA